ATGAATTGCCCCCCCCCCCCCCCCGGGCCCGGGCCCCTCCTTCATGAGCTTCGCACGAGCCAGGAGTTCCTTGTGCTCACTGTGCACCACGTCCCGGATCTTCGGCTTGCCTGGGAACCCCTTGTCCACAGGGGTTTCGGGCTTCGACCTTTAACACTTGTACACATTGTACACACTCTCGCGCGGCAGGCAAAGCGTTTCGACTCTCACACTGGCAGAAGCAAGGCTTCTGGTACGATGTCCGAGCTGTGAGGCCACCTCCTCAATTCAGGAAGCAAGGGCCGTACATAGAAACGCGAGATTTCATCCACGTCGGTCACAAACATCGTTGTAACCCCGGCCAGCCAAAAGTGCACATGATGTGCGGACTGCAAGGTCTGACGCCAGCATCCGTGGGCCAGACGAATTTCTCCTGAGCCTATCTTTGCGGCAAAATCAAAGCCGGAGGCTCCAGGCCAAAAGCCCGAAGCAGCTCCTCTGTACTGGGGGCAACATACACTGGCACAGCTCTCACTGACCACACATGCCGAAGAGATCGCAGGTCGGTGTCTTGGTCTCACCTGGCAAGGCTGCATCCATCACCTTGGGTACGTCGGCGACCTCCGCCTTGAATTCCTTGAGCTCTTCCTTGACTTTCTCGGTGACTTCGGCAACGTCCTCCTTGACCTCTTCCTTAGCCACCTCCTCCTTGATTTCCTCCTTCGCAGCCTCCGCAGCCTCCGCCACAGCTTCCACCACGGCGTCCACCTTGCCCTCCTGCTTGTCCTGTGTCACCTCCTCTTTCACCTCCTCTTTCACCTCCTGCTCCTTCACCTCCGCAATGGACTCCTCCACTGCCGGCACAGCCTCCTTGACCTCGGAAGGCTGGACAACAGAGTCCTTTGGCTCCTCAGCCTTCTCCTGCACGGACGGGGAAGCGTCCTGGGAGGGAAGAGGCTCAGCAGCGGGTGCCTCGGTGGAAGTCTTCGAGTCGGCGGGTGCCTCCGTCACTGCAATGGGCGCCTTCTCCGTGGTCGCAGGTGCTGCAACCTTGCTGGTCTGGCAACCCATACTGACAAGGAGGGTACTTGCAAATCGACTGCTTGCCAGGAAATTGCTTGAGCCAAAATTGCCTTGCAGTCGGGAACTGGGGTTGCTGTGACTCTACTTGCGACTTGTGCTGGCAGCTGGCGCATCCTTTGGACTACACAGTGTCCGCTTCTACCCTTAGCCCTCCTTGACCACACAAAGAGAGCCCAAGCTGCTTGGAGCTAGGAGGACGCCCTCCTCGTCCACCTCCTCCTGGTGTCGGAGGGTAGGTGAGAGTGCTTCTTCGATAGGGCCAGGGAAGTGTTTGAGAGCCCTGATACAAAATCGAATTCAGGCCTGCAGAAAACATGCAAAAGCAACAGCAAAAGCAGCAAAAGCAGCAAAAGCAAAAGCAAATGTCCTCAAGACAGGGGAAGGGGTGGGGGTCCTGGTAGCTGGGACCCGGTTCCAAGCCAGACTCCGCAGGCACAGCGACGTAAGGAGAGAACACCTCGAGAGCTCTGGGTGTAGGGTCCTCCTACACATTTGTTGGAGTTTTGTTTTTGCCACTCGCCTAGCTGACACTCAGGCCACATTGCAGGGAACAGTCCGTTCAAGTCCATATGAAGGAGGGAGGAACGGTACCTCTAAAGAGAAACTCAGAAAAACAATCTAGCGGTAATGGGTTTAGTTGTGGGTTCGGTTTCCTGCTACAGATTCTGGGTTTGGTGGCTAAGGCTTTCGTTTTGGGCTTTGGCTTTGGACTCACGACTTGGATGCTGCGCGAGCAACACAGAGTTCGCAACCGAAATGCTAGGACCACGAAGGCTTTGGGCAGAACGTGTGATGTGTGAGGCTTCCAGATTTAGGAACCTGAGCTGCAACTTTAGATGGGCGTGGCCCGCTGATTCTGAGAACATGTCGTCCCAGCCTGAAGCCTGGGAACACTGTGGGGTTCATTGGGCCGTCCACCAAGCCCGGATCGCACCACCCTTTTACGGCAAGGTTTAGGGCAATGCCGAAGCCATTAGCTGTCAAGATCATACAATAGAGGGCCAGCAACCCAAATCTGCGGAGACTCTTTGCGCTCAAAGTGGCATAGGACACTTTGTACTTGCGCTTGCTGGTTCCGACGGTCTCGGAGCGGTCGATCAAGGCGGGCCGCCACTCTTCCGATGACATGTCCTGGGGACATCTAACCATAATAATGACAAGCAGTGGTAGTGATAAAGGAATGCTGAAAGTTACGATGGCAGCCGGAACGATGAACGACAACAATCATGAGAATGATGCCGGCAACGGTAATGGCAAGCATGACTAACAGGATTTGGAGTCCGGCAAACATGTTTCAATCGCTACTGCACTTCTAAGTTACTAAAAGGAAGATCATAATCTTACTATCTTCGTGAGCTTACATAATTTATGTCGTGCGCTCACGCATGTAATTGTAGTAAAATGAGATCGCTAGTTAAAATACGGTAACGTGTGAACAGTATTAGTATTTCTAGTGAGGGCTTACAGTAGTCTTAGTATGAAAATGCAACAAAAAAGAAGGGGTTTGGATAGAAGTGAACGAACAACATGCCTGGATCTTGGATGGCTTCGTTCACGCCTGGTCAATACTGCGTGCCTTCACATGTTTCGCTCGTTAATTACCACACTATTTAATAGTGTTCACCTTTCAGCGGTACATTCATGATCACGACACGTCGATACCACTCATGATCAAACCAATTACGATAACAAAATCCAGATAATGAAATCATAATAAGCCATGTTTTATAGATTATAACGGCGCGTATGATCATGATCCTGATGATAGTCAGACTCCGAACCCTGCAACGTAAAAGAGATTGCACGTGTCATCAATTGCAGACAAGGATCGGAGGGGTGGTGGAACTTGGCATAACCAAAGCACCTTAGCATAGTAAGCATGCAAGGCTAGGCTGAGCATGGCTGTACTGCCTACTGGTTCTGGAAATTTAGCAGCTGTGGCGCTTGTTGGGAGTGTTGGTGTCTGCCAAGATCTCCATGTACTTCTTCTGCTGCTTCTCGAAGAGGCGCATGCGGTTGTTATTCAACCGCGACACATCCGTGCTATCTGCCACCTTCAGGCGCTGCGGCACGTTGCGTCCGAAGCTGTACAGGCTTCCGTAGTGCCCGAAGGTGCAGACGGTGTCCAGCGGCTGCCACGACGACGGATCCTGGATCTCCACCGCGTCAAGCCTCCTGTACTCGTAGCTCATCCAGCCGTCCGTGCCACGCTGCGCCAGCTCTCGTAGCTTCTTCGAAGGCACGAAGACCATGACGCTGTGCCTATAGGACCTCAAGTTGCAATAAAAACATTCTCAACCCTCAGTCCTCGAAACCATCCGAGGATTCATGCAAGACTTTTAAGCCCTTGGCACAATCCCCAGCCAAAATCTGAAGAAGGAGCTAGGGCGTCGAGTCTGAAAAACAGTCCCTCATAAGATGCAGGGTAGGGACATGTCCCGAGCAGCAGCTTCCAACTGCATCACATGCTTGCGCCTCTTCTTGAAGGCCTCCATGTCATGGACACAAAGAGGGGAAAGAGGGGAGCCGAGATGAGCCGAGGGCTGAAAGTTTCAGGGTCCAGGGGTCGAAGGGAGACATTTCTACTGGGAGCTACGGTGGATGATCGCACCTTCGTTCATTTCTTAAACTGGATGCATGCCTTTGGTTAATAAAACCCGAGGGGAAGATGCGATCATGTAGTCGTTGGTGAGCATGTGCTTTAGCCATTTCTCGATTACGAGCCTCCTTCTTATCCGCGTTCGGGTCCTTCGCCTTCTCATCGTCCAACTGCTTCAGCAGTTCCCGTGCCAGCTCCTGGCAGCCGAGATCCCCACGGTAACTGTCAGGGGTTTCTTGAGGGTCGGGGCCGATGGCCGGCAGCAGCAGCAGCAGGAGCAGCAGCAGGAGGAGGCATCTCTTACTCTTTGGGCGACGCGGGATCTCATTGCAGTCGCAAACCCTGACAAAACAAAGCCCTATCACTAGGGTTGCTTCTCCCCGGGTGGATTTTTTTTTTGGGTCTTTTTTTTTTTTTTTTTTGGGCCTCTTTTTTTTTTTTTTGTCGATTTCCTTGGTTTTTCTCTAGAAAACCCTACGTTCCTTACATTTGGAACGGATTTCTGTCATTTCCCTATGTTTTCGTTGGTTTTTGCATAGGGAAAACCTAATTTTTACATTTTGGACGGATTTCCTGTAATGTTCCCCCTTAGGTTGAAGCCGCTCTGCACGGCAACAAAAAAGCGGGGGGTTGGGGGGGGGCAGGCCCCCCCATTTGCAACACAATGCACACACGATTTTTTTTCAACTATTTCTTGGGCTTTTGTAAGCAAACGCTGGTACAGCTTAAAAGAAGCGGGGGGGTTGGGGGGGGCTCAGCCCACCCCAGTTGCAATGCTCACACGTTGTTTTTTCAACTAGTTTTTTCCTGGGCTGTTGCGGAGCACGCTTGGTAGCGGCTTAAAAACGGGGGGGTTTTGGGGGGGGGCAGCCCCCCCCATTTGCAAACACCTGCTCACATGATGGGTGTCAACAAGTTTTTTGGGCTTTGAAGCGCGCTCTGCACAGCTTAAAAAAAAAAAGCGGGGGCGTTGGGGGGGGGCGCAGCCCCCCCCCATTTGCAAACACAATGCTCACACGATGTTTCTCAACTAGTTTCTTGGGCTTTGAAGCACGCTTGGTACGGCTTAAAAGAAGCGGGGGGGGGGTTGGCGGGGGGCGCAGCCCCCCCCCCCATTTGCAAACACCATGCTCACATGACGGGTGTCAACAAGTTTCTTGGGCTTTGAAGCACGCTCTGCACGGCTTGAAAAAAACGAGGTTTTCGTTCGTTTTTCCTAAGGAAACCCTCTTCTGATTACATTTTGGACGGATTTCGTCAAACGTCAAAGCGTACGTTGCTTTTCCTTAGTTTGTCCTAGGGAAAACCCTATTTGGTTCGTTTTCTTGGTTTCTATCATTCCCTCTATATTTTCATCGGATTCATACTTTTTTTTCAACTAGTTTCTCGGGCTTTGAAGCACGCTTGGTACGGCTTAAAAGAAGCGGGGGGGGGTTAAAGGGGGCGGGCGCCCCCCCCCCATTTGCAAACACCCTGCTCACATGATGGGTGTCAACAAGTTTCTTGGGCTTTGAAGCACGCTCTGCACGGCTTTAAAAACCGGGGGGGTTGGGGGGGGGGCGCAGGCCCCCCCCCCATTTGCAAACACAACGCACACACGATATTTTTGAACTAGTTTCTTGGGCTTTGAAGCACGCTTGGTACAGCTTAAAAGAAGCGGGGGGGTTGGGGGGGCTGTGTCCCCCATTTGCAAACACCCTGCTCACATGATGGGTTTCAACTACTTTCTTGCGCTTTGGCTGAAAAAAAGCGGGGGGGTTGGGGGGGGCGCAGCCCCCCCCATTTGCAAACACAATGCTCACACGATGTTTTTCAACTAGTTTCTTGGGCTGCCCTTGGGCTTAGAAGCACGCTTGGTACGGCTTAAAAAAAGCGGGGGGGTTGGGGGGGGGGCGCAGCCCCCCCCCATTTGCAAACACCCTGCTCACATGATGGGTGTCAACAAGTTTCTTGGGCTTTGAAGCGCGCTCTGCACGGCTTAAAAAAAAAAGCGGGGGGGTTGGGGGGGGCGCAGCCCCCCCCATTTGCAAACACAATGCTCACTCGATGCTTTTCAACTAGTTTCTTGGGCTTTGAAGCACGCTTGGTACGGCTTAAAAGAAGCGGCGGGGGGGTTGGGGGGGGCTGTGCCCCCCATCTGCAAACACCCTGCTCACATGATGGGTTTCAACTAGTTTCTTGGGCTTCGGCTGAAAAAAAGCGGGGGGGTTGGGGCGCAGCCCCCCCCATTTGCAATTACAATGCTCACACGATGTTTTTCAACTAGTTTCTTGGGCTTTGAACGGCTTAAAAGAAGCGGGGGGGGGTTGGGGGGTCTGCGCCCCCCATTTGCAAACACCCTGCTCACATGATGGGTGTCAACAAGTTTCTTGGGCTTTGAAGCACGCACGCTCTGCACGGCTTAAAAAAAAAACAAAAAAAGCGGGGGGGTTGGGGGGGGCGCAGCCCCCCCCATTTGCAAACACAATGCTCACACGATGTTTTTCAACTAGTTTCTTGGGCTTCGAAGCACGCTTCCTTTCTTCCTTCCTTGCTTCCTTCCTTTCTTCCTTCCTTTCTTCCTTCCTTGTTTCCTTCCTTTCTTCCTTCTCTCCTTTCTTCCTTCCTTCCTTCCTTCCTTCCTTGTTTTCTTCCTTTCTTTCATCCTTCCTTCCTTCTTTTCTTTCCTTCTTTCCTTCTAAAACGTACCAGAAATAACGCTTTCCTATGAAACCACAGAGAAATTACTGTTTTTCGTACCAAAAACCACGAAAATGCATCAAATCCTTTAAAAATATGGAGGGAATGGTGGTTTTCTTAGGAAAAACCAAGAAAATCGACCAAAAAAAAAAAAAAAGGCCCAAAAAAAAAAAAAAGACCCAAAAAAATAGGCCCTCCGTTTAATTTCACACCAGCGTTCAAGAAGAAGATGATATCTAAAGTCTCCAATTCCGAGACGGCAAACCAGTCAGATACAGCCTGGTCAGACTCCATAGTATCCTTAGGATGCGCTGCATGACAGACCTTAGCCCTTTCACGAAGCAACAAGCGCAAAGAAGAAGAAGACGAAATAAGAAGAAATAAGAAGAAACAAGAAGAAATAAGAAGAAATAAGAAGAAATAAGAAGAAATAAGAAGAAATAAGAAGAAATAAGAAGAAATAAGAAGAAATAAGAAGAAATAAGGAAAGAAGAAAAAAAAAGAAGTCGCACACAAACTCCGCGGAAGCCCTAAACCCTAAACTTGCCCTAAACCCTAAACCCTAAACCCTAAACCCTAAACCCTAAACCCTAAACCCTAAACCCTAAACCCTAAACCCTAAACCCTAAACCCTACACCCGAAGAGCAGGCCTGGCTTTGCCTGTGCAGCAAGGGGTGCCAGAAGTAGCCTCGCTTCGACAGGCTTGGAGCTTTTGAGGCTTCGGGCACACCGAACACAAACTCTAAATTAGGGTTCAGGGTTCAGGGTTCAGGGTTTAGAGTTTAGGGTTTAGGGTTTAGGGTTTAGGGTTTAGGGTTTAGGGTCTGGGGTTTAGGGTTCAGGGTTCAGGGTTCAGGGTTTAGGGTTTAGGGTTTAGGATTTAGGGTTTAGGGTTTAGGCAACTCTCTAAGCCTGAACCCCTAAACACTGGCCGGGTTGTGGGGCCGCATCTGTGGCTGCAGCGCAGAATAGACACAGTAGGGTTGAGGGTTTAGGGTTTAGGGTTTAGGGCTTAGGGCTTAGGGCTTAGGGCTTCATCTTCGGCAAACACGGTCTTTCCGGCAGCAATGTCTAGCACCGGCTGCCATTACCATCGCCCTTGCTTCATGACTTTTGGACATGACTTGGCTTCCCAAGACGTTTGGAACTCCAGAGAGCTTCATGCGAAATCAGACCACAGGGACACTAGACCCTGAACCCTACGCCTGAAAACGCCCCGAAGCCCTAGTTCAGCCCTAAACTCCCTTTCTTTTGTCAGCCCTAAACTCCTAAGCCCTTCTTTGGAAACCCTAAACTCCGAAGCCTTTCTGTCGAAGCCTGCCCCAGTCCCTACAAGGCCCCCAAAGCCCGCTTCTGGCGAGGATCGCGGCGGCAAGGCTGCGCCGCCCTCGCGCTCAGATAGCCACGACGTGGGGTTTAGGGTTTAGGGTTTAGGGTTTCGGTTTTAGGGTTTAGGGTTCAGGCTTCAGGGTTTAGGATTTAAGGGGTACCTTACAAAAGGTAAAAAGGGTACCAATAGGGGCTACCAAGATATGGGTCGATGCTTCAAGGGGTCGGGGTGCTTAGGGTACTTTCGGGTACTGTAGGGTTCAGGGTTCAGGATTCAGGGTTCAGGGTTCAGGGTTCAGGGTTCAGGGTGCAGGGTTCAGGGCGTTTAGGGTTCAGGGTGCAGGGTGATGATAGGTTCAGAGTCCACACAGAGTCAGGCGACTCGCAAGCGTTAACCCGATGCACCTACTTACAGGCCGCCTACCAACGCCGGGGCGTCTCCAAATAAAACAGCTGAACCATTGCGAGGTGGTTAGGGCTTTGGGGCTACCTTTTTATACGGCTTAGACTTCTAGCGCGTTCTTGAGTGGGATTCCATGTTTGCGGGCATTGGGGTTTAGCACTTCGGCTTTCTGTATAAAGGGACCCCATAGCCCCCAAGCCCTGCAGAACCCCCCCTTAGTTCCACAAAACCCGGGTTCAGGATTTAGGGTTTAGGGTTTAGGGTTTAGGGTTAACCCTGGAGGCTACGCCTTCCGCGCGGTGCGTTTCGGATACCGGGTCTGCTGGTCGAGCCTGGCGCAGGCAGAAGCTCCAGCAGTTCAGAATTGGGGTTGAACATTTAGGGTTTAGGGTTTAGGGTTGAGGGTTTAGGGTTTAGGGTTTAATTAGGGTTTAGGGTTTAGGGTTTAGGGTTTAGGGTTTAGGGTTTAGGGTTTAGGGTTTAG